AGAGAGAGAGAGAGAGAGAGAGAGAGAGAGAGAGAGAGAGAGAGAAAAGGATGCAAAAAAAAGGGAAAGAGAGAAAGCAAGAGAGAGAACGAAAAAAAGAAGAAAAAATAGTTCGGAAAAAAAAATGTAAAAGAGAAAGATGAAACCCTCCAGCTCCACACCCCCCCAGACCAATCTGAGTCTGACCTCGCTTGACCCATCTGCTGCTGGACCCGCCCCACACTGTCACTGAACGAACTGCTCGTAACCTTGGGTACTACTCGTCAGGTTGCCAGGGGAAACGGATGACCAATGGGGGTCTTTCACTGGGATAGAGCACACGCACTCATCCTTAGTAAGTAGAGTCAACCAGAGGATAGTGGTTTGTCTCGGAACGCCCCCTGGTAGACTTGCACTTAAAGCCCTCGTGTGCAAAACGTTTTATGTCTTCAAATAATTCTAGTGGTAAACTATTTTGTTGGTGAAAAGTTGGAGTTGGAGGACAGCGGTGTGTCCGTCCCTCCGTCACAGCATCACCACCTGAGCTTCAACCAAGACAGCATCCAGGTAGTACTTATCAAAGTATCACTTGATGAGAAAATGATGATATATTGAATGAGAAAAGCCCAAATATTTATAATAAACAAAAATAAAAATAATAGTAATTCAATTTATCTTAAATGTTATTGAAACTAGTGTGTAGGAGTTATGATGACATTAAACTTTTATATCATACTTAACAATATAATAGTCAGATATAGTAGATGGGTCAGTTGTTGGCCTAAAACACATAAATACGCTGTATCTATGTCTCAGCTCGCATAAATGAAATGAAGCATTTTAAAAGGGAAGAAGAAGAGTTTGGTTTGTGACCAAAAAGTTCCACGGTCGCGTTCTTCTAATCAGCCGTCAAAAGTCTGGGCAAAACAGTAACAGACAGTAATCATCAAGGTGCCTTTGAGTCAAGTGCTCGGGCCGCCATCTGCTTTTGATCGGCGCGCCAGTCGTACAGTTTGGTCAGCTGATCCCAGGCACAACTACAACAATAACAACAACAACATCCTGTGAGCCCGTGAAACAAACAAACTAAACAAGCTAGTGTCATTAAACTGATAAAGTATCAGATAACTTGAAAGGAATAACTACAATAACAGGCAAAGAAGAAACACAGTCGATGTTGGGGAACAGGGTCTGGTGCAAAGGGTTTGCATGCTCTTCCCCCGAGTCTGCACAGATATACTTGATCTTGTTTATATAACTGTGCATTACTTGGAATCCTAAGCCCACGTACTACTACTACTACTACTACTACGACTACTACTACTGAAACTTCTTCTTTTTGTGTCTGTTGAGCTGGGTGTGACTCTCACTGACTGGTGTCTGTGTGACTACCAGCACTGTGACACCCAGCCTTGTATAAGACCCATTGAAACACCACCACCACCCCCCCACCCCGCAGCTCTGCATCCATCACATTCCAGCCCCTTCCTACTGAATGTAGGAATACTGTGGGTAAATATTTGTCTCACGTGCATTACCTGACCTCTTTAGCTCACACACTTTACATCCACATTTTGAATTACTGCTCTTGTTGTGGACTGCGATACATTGTACTTCCTGTGTTCCGCTCCTCTCTGGATCCCCTTCGAGTCAATTCAAATCTAAACTGTAGATGCAAACAATGCGTGTGCACTGTCCACCTGGCCGGCTCCGTACGTACCACGCCAGCTGCATGTCCCAGCGTCCCGGCGGGCGGCGCGCCGCCACCCGTCGTGACGCTGTTGGGGTGGCGTACGTGGACAGCTGGCCCGGCCGCGACGGCGGGAGGGGGGCCGCCGGGCGCCAGTTTGACTCCCTGCTGCGGGGTCGGGATGTGCTGACTGCTCAGCAGGGACAGCCTCAGGGCCGGGAGGCTCTTCTGTTGACGGGCAGAGAGAGGTCGGTGGTTTAGAGTCGGAGAGCGGACAAACACACACATGCATGAGAGAATGAACATGCACACACAGCTGGAAAAGAAAGCAAATGGTGGTGTGGTCACTGGCTGGCTTAGCGTGCATGTTGTCATGGTTACAGGGTAAAGATGCTGAGATGTCTCACTTTATACTGTACGTCGTAAACATTTCCTTCTTCAGTTTAATTCGATTTTACGACAATGAAATGCCGTACATGAAACACGTTATCTGATAACCACTGACGAAACCTGAGGAGCTGATGCCCCGCACCGACTATTTCAGGCAGATTTTTTTGACGTAAGCGGCCTAACGCTGCATGACATTGTGTGTCTGTGGCCGCGTCGGGCGGCCTTGATGTGACGCTCATCGCGGTTGGCTGGAGAAAACACCGCCGGCTGCTGGCAGGGACGGCTGCGGGGGCCACTGTCACACACAGTCAGAAGTCAGGCCAGAGGGGTGTGTGTGTGTGTGTGTGTGTGTGTGTGTGTCATTCTACTGTCAGGGGCCTGGCCATCACTGGCCTGATGATTTAAGGGGCAGGTTAGGGAGCAGTTAAGGAAACGGTTTGATTTTAGGGGTGAATTTAGAGCTGAGGGGCCCAGTTATCTGTCAAAGTTGGGCCCCAGCAAAGTGTAGGGAAAAGGCTGTTTCAGGGTGAGGGTAAAGGATCGAGGTCAGGGAACAAGTGCAGATTTAAAAAGCTGATGGAGAGCAGGTTAAAAAATAAATAAAAGGTTTAGAAGCGAGGACCACACCTTGAGAAAGGGCACCAGGTACGGCTGCGGAGACGACTTGAGCTCAGTCTGCAGCCGGCTGGTGAACTCCTCCGGGTCGATCTTGGCATCCTGTCAAGGTGAGGAAGGAGGGGGGGGGGGGAAAAGTATAAACACCAGTTCACAAGACAGCCCACACAGTAAGTTAGAGCACAACGCGGTGACTCGAACGCGACATGATGACATCCCCAACTCCAATCCTGGCACCTCAGGTCGCAGCTCATCAATGTGCAACTGGAGCAAGGAGGGTTTCATGCTGCCATCTACAGGTCTAAAATATTCATTACAACAACACACTAAAGGTGTCCACTCTGACCGACTCCATGCAGTTGAATATTTTAAACTGCAAAAAAAATAGAAGGTAAGTCACGATTAAATAAACACTGTGATTCAATCTGGATACAGAAAAGAAGCACCAAAATAAACTCTCTTAACTACACAAGCACAATACTTCCATAACGTCTGTTGTACATTTTTTTAAACGCTCACCAGCAGGTCCTGAACCAGAGACTTGACGTTCTTGGAGGTCTCGGGGGACGGAGAGTTGTGGGACGCCAGCTTGATGAGCGTGGCCAGGAAATTCTTGCACTTCTTGACATTCTCCTGCATTTCCTGTCAGAGGCAAGAAAACGATTATTCACCCGATGACGGGAATCTGAGTAGAGCTGGCAGCAAGGGATAGAAGTTGCTCAAACCTTACTTCTGAAGTACTAATCAACGTTTGAATAAATGATCTTCTTTTGTTACTAGGATGCTGGGATTAGTGCCGATGTAGGATCAGAGTTTGGCGTTAAAAGAAAGGCTCCGGGTCAAATCCTGAGCAGAGAGGAACTTATTTATGCTGCCCTTCTTTTATTAATACTTAGCAGAGATGCTACAGAATGAAACTACCAGGACTGGTAAAGAATCAGCACTCTGCCCGGTCATCTTTGTAGCCAAATGAGACATGGCACCTGTCTACTCAAACTGCCAGCGGCGACAAACTGTGGCCCCTTAGAGGGCTCTCCGGCCTGAATATATATATATATATATATATATATATATATATATATATGTGTGTGTGTGTGTGTGTGTGAATCTGCACCTCTGTGCCGATTATGAATATGCATGCAAGCCAGCATCTGTAAGTCTGTGTGTGTGTCTGAATATTGTTACGTCTGTGTGTCCTTGGGTCTGCATGCGCTCGTGTGAACGTACGAGTGTGAACGTGTGTGGGCATGTGTGAGACTCTCGGTGCGGGGGGCCAGCTGCACGAGGCGGCGAGGCTGCTGGGTCTGGGGGGGGGGGGGGGGGAGAGGCTGAAGCTTGTGACACAGCCGGCAGCCGCTGGCGGCCTTGTGACAGCGCCTGCCTGCGCCCTGGAGGGTGAAGTGTGGGCGGCGGGGGGAAGAGAGAGGGAACAGACCTGGGACACGATGGGACCTCCGGGGTTCGCGGCGATGCCCGTCTGAGGAGGCTGCGTCGGCTGGGAGGCTGCCTGGGCCGGGGCTTGGGGGGCCACCGCCACCACGGGGGCCTGCTGCGGAGCCGCCACTGCCACGGCCGGCGCCGCGGGGACCTTCTGTGGAGGGGGGCAAGGAAGAGACAGAGAGATAAACAGGACGTGACGCCTCGCTCGCAGCAAGGCCACGGAGAACAGGAGGCAGGCGCCGCGGCGCTCCCTGTCACATCTGGTGTCCTGACTTCGGCGGACGTCGCTTAACAGACAAGTGAGGGAGGGGGTGGGGGGGAGAAAGGGGAGGCGGTGGCACGCTAGAGGCTGGGAGAGACAGCAGGCGTCGAAGCTTTTCTTCACAGTCACCTACCTGATAAGGGACGCCTCCTATCAAGGCGCCATCAGCGTTCTCTCACTCCAAAAGCCCTCATCACCTCTTTTGAATCTCTCAGGGCCTGTTTTTCACACTCGGCGAGGAAAATATGTGACGCAATCGTAAAGCGGACAGCTCTAAACACAGGTGTGAATGCGCCCCTAAAAATGCATGAAGGTCTGGTCGCTCAAGCCGCATACGGATCACATACGTGGACGCGGCCTTGCAGCGCAATGTGAGCCAAAATACACTTCTATCTGCACAAAGCGGCTATATTCGGCATTAAACTTGCATTCTCTCTACTGACCATCAGGGGGCGACTCCTCTGGTTGCAAAAAGAAGTCAGATTGTATGGAAGTCTATGAGAAAATTACTCTACTTCTCTCTTGATTTATTACCTCAGTAAACATTGTAAACATGAGTTTATGGTCTCAATAACTAGATTCAAGTCTTCTTCAATACATGATGTTCATTTGGTACATTCTGGTCCATTTAGAGTCAAATAGACCATAAAGCGGAGTATGCTTTAGGGCGGGGCTACCTTGTGATTGACAGGTCGCTACCACTACCGTACGCGGAGCCTCTACATCACTCCTCCGCAGTACCAAATATGGTCACCTCTGCTCACTGATTGCAAAAAAACATGGCGATGGCCAAAATGGTTAACTCGAGGCCTCAAAACTGCAGTCCAACAAACCAATGGGTGACGTCATGCTGCCTACTTTCACTTTTTATGTACAGTCTATGATCTGCACTGAAGGGCTGCCTCCTTAGTGTGTGTACAGTATGATGAGAAATCGCACAAACAGGGAAAAGGTCCAGAAAGGCACCAAATTGGTTCCTCAGAAGTGGGAGAGTTTAACTGAAAATATTATCTCCACCAGAGCTAGTGAGGATAGCCAGGGCTTCTATACTTCATTCTTCACATTTTTCTCAGCAAACAAATCCAACAGTACTTTTGAAAAACAATACATGAAGAAAACATAAAGCAGCACAGAAGACAAAAAAACAGGAGAGTAAGGAGGGTTGTCTCACTGGGCGGAGTGCAGGACAGGAGGAGGAGGAAGAAGAGGAAGAAGAAGAGGAAGAAGTCTGGAGGGCAGGGCTGGACTGGGTGGGAGAGGGCGACGGTACCATCTTGGCCGGGGTCAAAGGGCACTGCCTGGTGGTCTGAGAGGTCGCGGAAGACTGCAGGGAAGAGAAAGAGAGAGAGAGGGGAAGAGGAAGAGAGAGAGAAACAGAGAGCGTAGAGATATCAAAGAAAGCGGGCGAGGAAGGGGGAAACAAGAGGGAGGAATGAATACAAGGGATGCAGAGAAAGAAAAGGAGCAGAGGTGAGCGGGCGTCCGTTTCAGAGGCAAGAGTGGAGGAGAGAGAGAGAGAGAGAGAGAGAGAGAGAGAGAGAGAGAGAGAAGAAGAAGAAGAAGAAAAGAGCAGCGGCGTGCCTTGCGGACGGACAAGGAAAGGTCGCGGCGGCGGGAAGGAACGAAGAAGGGCGGCGTCACGCTAGTGGTGTCGAAAAGGGTGAAACGGAGAAAAAGCATGTGTCGGTCAGGTTGCAGTCTGTCACGGTGTGTCACACTGCTGGAGTCTCATGGCAGGTGGGGAGGGGACATGTGTGTCCACAGGACCGAACCACACCAATGGCATCTACCTATTACGCAACCTGATGGAGGGACAGGAAGAAATCTGCCACTCGCTTTCCTGATACAGAAACGTTGATTCATTGATAACTGTAGGTCATGACAAAGTTGCCGGTATTTAAGGTGAGACACCACAGGCTAAACACTGTTTCTATGCACTGCTCAATTAAATATAACTATTAGTCAGCCTGAAAATAATGAATTGCAGTTCTCTAGTCTAGAAGTAACACATGCAGGAACTACTTTTTCTTTGCATATTTAAACATAACATTTCAGAAAAATTGCAATACAATAAATAATTGTCTTAATGTAAGTAATCACCTGGGGAAGTTTCATGGTGATATCTACTGGTACATTTTTTCACCCTATTCGCCTGTAGTGTCTTCAACATGTATGTAATTTTACAAAACACGTCTTTATAGGCGGTTTACTTCAGACTGTGAGCCAGAAATCTCCACTTCATTAGCACTTATATACACCGAACTTTCCAGTTTCATTCCTATCTGTATTCTGAAGGTTTTTACAGAGGGGTTTGTTCATATATCATTCATAGCCTGATGTATACAATATTTGATTTCTAAAAACATGGCAAAATGTTTTTTTATTAAGAGATAATCCTCACATACATCAAGAAAAAGATTGAATAAATAATTTTGAAGCTGGCTTTATCCAATGTTTCTGTTCTGGAAATGTATGCAAATTAGCACATATTTAATAAGAGAATGCCTCATTTGCATATTTAAACAAAATATAATTGTCTTCAACTGGGGAAGTCTCATGTGATGATATCAAGTAGTTAAAATCGCTTATCAACTGTAGTGTCACCTCTAAAGCGCGTACAAGCGGTTGACTATGAAATGCAGACATGAGATACGATGATTACGATGGTTTGGTGTTTCTTGGAACCGACATTACTTGTAAAGAAACAGGTGTATAGCAGACATGTTTGAATCTTAAACCCCCTGTAATAAGGAGATGATTACTACAGTAGAGCGGTGAAACTGTTTTGATGACACTGCTCGGAGAACACAGAAGACACACGACTGAGATAAAACCTCCCAGTTAGTTAACAGACCATGCGGGACATAAACAAGAGAGATCCGGCTGCTCACGCTCCTCTACATGTACAGTGTGCTTGTGGGTATTTGGACAGATTCCTTTATTGTATTTCTTTTGACGGGCACTTCACTCGAGCACAGTGGACTCGAAAACTGGGAGGTTTAAGCGCCGACGTTCAGCTGTAATTTGACAATCCAGCCCCTTTTAACCCGATCGTCTCGTTACAGGATCAAACGTGACAATATTAAGGTATTTTAACTGCTACTGTGTAAAGGGAATACTGCTGTTAAAAAGCACCTTATTTGTTTAAAGTGTTTGCAAACCAAATGTTATTGCACTTTTGTTCATATAGCAGTACTTTTAAAATAAAAGTGCGCAATACACTACTTTTGAATTCATTATTGAACTTTGCGCATAACAATGCGATTAATCACGAAAAAAATCATGCGATTAATCGCGATTAAAAATTGTAATCGTTGCCCAGCACTAATATATATAAAGTACAGTATATGCAGTATATGGGACCCAGTGGTGTGATCAATAATGAGATGTGTACCATTCAAAGTAGGTTGCAATGGAGATACTGTCGGTTCTGATAAAGGTTGATGCTGAAATGTGTCATAACTGGAGTTTGTTTATTATTATTAGCTTATTAAAAGGTGCAGGAGCAAATGGGACAGCTTGGCGGGGAGTGCCACAAAACCACCTGCGATGCCCGGTGGCTCACCGCACACACACACCCTGGCTGCTATCCTGTCTGTGGGCCGAGACAACCCAACAGGGCCTATGCCTCGACCTCTGGCACACAACCCTCCATTCATAGGCGGGCCAACACACACACACACACACACACACACACACGATTTGTCTTGCACACAAAACGCAGACACACAGCGTGCCAAGGACAGAGGGAAAGAGGCGAGAAGAAGTAGGATAAGAGGAGGAGGAGGGAGTTTCCCCACCGCTTAAAAAAAGTTTTGTGTGCGATCCAAAAGAATGTTGTGCTGAGAAGTCGGGGGGGGGGTGAGAGCCACGGGGTGCATCCCGCCGCCGGCGATGCCTCTCTCTCTCTCTCTCTCTCACTCACTCCCTCTCTCTCTCTCTCTCTCTCTCTCTCTCACTCCCTCTCTCTCCCTCTCTCTCCCTCACTCTCTCTCTCTCTCTCTCACTCCCTCCCTCCCTCTCTCACTCCCTCCCTCTCTCCCTCTTTGCACACGAACACGCTCTTGAGAAAACCAAAAGCCTTGTTAGCTTTTGTAAAATAATCAGGCAGTTGGATGATGAATGATTTAACAGGTATGGAAGGAAGGAAGCTCGGGATGCCTTCCGTTCCTCCCCTCGGGGGGTCACGGGAAGAGTGACAGGCCGACGGAGGGGCTGAGCTCTGGGAATAAACACCATTCCCTTTCATTTTTTCCCTGCCACTGCGTTTCCTGTCGAGACGGCGACGCCGCGGCCCGGCTAATTTGTCACAGGCGCGGCGGTGAGAGGCGATGACAGTCTGCGAGTCTCTTTATTTGCAGAGGGGGCTTTTTTTCCGCATCGGGGTGGATGCAGGTGCGAGTGCAGGAGGCGGGTGGGGGTGGGGGTGAGGGTGCTGTTGTGTAACTGATGCGGACTTCCGTCTGTGGAGTCTGTGTGAGCATCACTTTATGCTGCGAAAAGTACGAGGGTGGAATTTGTTTTCCATCGTTTAGGAAACATTAATGTCAGTTTCAAAAAGGTTGTTACGTGGCCCCTTTCAGCTCGGCCTGTAGTGCAGCAATACTACCTGAGAAGGTAAAAACCTCCACACAGCAGTGTGATACTGCATAGATGCACCAATGCAGCACACACTGCTGCATCTCATGAATGGGGCTGGCACTGTGGGGCTGTATTTCCTGGACATTCAGTGTCTGATCTGATACGACGATTAACACGTTATTATATTCTCCGTTTCCTTTTTGCAATCAGAGATACTGTATGCAACTCTCATAATAGTAGCACGTGTCTCACTGTGGAGAGTGTTAGGGGAGCAGGAAGTAGTTTAATTCAGAAGTAGAGGTAGAAGCAAAGAGGAAAAGTTTAGCTGAATTAAAAAAAAAAGAAAGAAAGATAGAGGAATGCTGCCCTCTAGTGTCCGACTTATGTCGTTGCAGTTCGTGATGTGATGAGCAGGAGATCTCAGGTGAATCAAGAAAGTCTTTAGGCTGAATCTTCACTGCAGCCTGAGAGGCCGGATCAAAGAGTGTGTTGTAAGACTAACTGTTGAGGTCCAATCGAGCACTTGGCTTCTCCCTAAAGCAGTTATTACTGTATTTTGCTGTCGATAGTCTGACCAGATGACTATAACCATGCAATATTTTAAAAAACACTTCCCTATGCCCTTACTTACTATTCGGAAAAGCGTGCGCACGGGACAGTATTTGAGAGACCATAGAGGACACGCTACCTGATTTTATGAATTTCATTTCCTCACAGTTCCCCGCTGACGTTGGAAAAACTTAACGAAAGTCAAAGCTCAGTTCCAAAACATTGAGTTGGGATTTGAGGGCTTGTTGAGCGCATATTCTCCAAATGACGACGTCACCTGACCACAACGATTACTCGATTAATCGATGAGTCGATTGAATCGAGCTGTGCCAGATTCGCTGGTTCACGCTCCGCAAATCCGATTTTTTTGTTTTCCATTTTCGTTCATCTTCTGCGACAGAGAACTAACTATCTGCACGAATCATGACTCAGCATTTGGGTTTTGGGTCGTAGCAGTTTGAATAAGTCAACTTGGGCTTTCGAAAAACTGCCATGGGCATCGTCTTCTTCTGACGGTTTCAAAACAGAGAAAATAACTGAGCAACAATGCTGCAAAACAGGATGAACTGCAACACAGTGCAACCTATTTGAAGGGAATCAAAATCAGTTTTAAATGCCTTGCAGACAAAATCATTTTTTTATAATCTTTTTCTTTTATTCTAATAACGAATGCCGACTCTAACACGCCAATGTATACCCCTTCCAACCCCTCTGATGTGCCAGTGTTGCATGTTCTGAGGTGAACGAGGACGACACAATGCTCTAATCCGAAGAAATATTTATCCGGGCCATTTCCTGCTTGATTTGCAGAGAAACAGCGAGAGACAAACTACCCGGTGATCTCGTCATTAAAGCCAGTTAAAGGTGTGGATTCGGCAAGCAGGTCTCTCCGTGAATGATGTATCCACAGGTGATCATACGCTAATTCCAATGAATGATTCAGTGGGCTCGTTAGAGTGTGATGAGGACCCCCCTTGAAGTCATTAAGGAGCCTTGAGACATTAATTCACCTATTAATCGCAGTTTAATCTATACGTAAAATAATTGGGAACACTCTATCGTTCTGATAATTACCCGGCTAAGCTTGTTAATCACATCCCAATTAGGCGGAGCTAAGCTGCTCGCTTAATAAGATGCTTGCCCCCCCGATATCAGGCGTAAGAATCAGATCAGCGTTCCTCCGAAGGAATCGGTCCAACTCATTTTGACAAAAAGGTCAGCGGTTGTGACGACGTTCATAAAAGACTGAAACGTACAGAAAGTATGTCTGTGCAATGTGACACTTTCAGTCATGGTTGCTCTCATGACCTTTGCATTGTGGGAAATGCATGAAACTGGCAGAATACAATCTCCCGCATTAAACTCATCCTAAGAAGCGGTTCTGTGGTGCCAACTTCAGGTCTGAGGTCAGCGCCTTGGTGGAGGACAGTGGATGTTGGATTTGGTGAGCGGCAAAGCTTTACAGGCGGAGTGGATACAAATGTCTGTGTGGTCTGAATTCCTTTTTTAGTTTAAGATGAACGAATGCCTTTAGGAAAATTAGGAAGTCTCCTCCACAAATGTTGCAGTGTTTCAACGTCTCTTATTAGTCTCCGTTTTTCTGAATTTCTCTTAGTTGTAAAATAGAAACTGTGTGCTATCGGTCACACCTTTGAAAGTCTACAGGCGGCAGCTACCGTGTGGGCTCTGGGGCTGGAGTCTCACCTGAGGAGTGGTCACTCTGAAGGATGCTCCTGTCGTGGGGGTGGCAGGTCGTGGAGTGACGTTGTTCTGGGCCTGCGCCTGGGCCTGGGCCTGAGCCTGAGCCAAAGCCTGCTGAGGAACCATCACTAGCTGGCCCAGCTCTGTGCGCACCAACACCATCCCTGGAGAACCACGGAGAACATTTATCTGAGGGAACACTAGAACGTCACGGACAATGAATGGTATTTAAACCACCTAAGTGCATATATATTGATATATATATATATATATATAGATATTTATATATCTATATATATGCAATGATATTGTAGGGTTGCCCATTGGTGTATTTTTATAAAATATTTGCAGAGATTTTCGATAAATAATCATCAGTAATGTGGATATAATGACTAAAGGCAAATAATAGAACAACTACAACAGTCTGGTTAGTTCATAAAATGACATCGCTTTACTGTAACGCAGTCTTTAAAACCAGGAGAAGACAACTCTATACACGCGCAATATTACGATATCCAAAATCGAAAACGACATCTAGTCTCATATCACATTGTTGAAAGGATGTCCATATATCACCCAGCCCTGATTGGATGTGGATTATGAGTATGTGAAGTGCACTGGTATTGAACGGTGAATGATCTCATACCAGGGGCACCGAAAATGTTTCCGAGTTTGTCTGTTAAAGTTGTGTGACAGGACGGCCCAAGAAGTCCCATCCGAACGTTTAACCCCGGCTCTTAACCGGCGCAGGAGGAATATTTAACCGCAGTTCGCCATAGCAGCAGCACTTCGCTGCACCAAGCCAAGCCGGACCGTGGGTTAAACCGACCACAAACAAAATGATGCGCTTCTTCTGCTGCAAGTGCAGCCATCACGGTCTAAATGTGAGACATCCTCATATAGAAAACGACATCTGTTATTGTCATGTGTCAGGACAGTCCCGTCGTGTATTATTGTTTATTTCATCGCTTACAACGCGACTGGTAGCACAGACTCTTTGCTGTTTTTTTTTCAAAAAGGCTAGGATTACAGTTGCTTGTGAGGTGTCCCATGTCAGGTCAAGATCAAATGTTATTACACACTTGTTTACCTTTTGCAGAATTTCCATAAAGTCAAAAAAAGAAAGAAGACATGAGGTCAATTCGGATCATTCTATTGTTTTTTTGTGACAGACATTATTCCTGAGGTGAGTAACTCTAAGCAGCATTAAAAAAAAAAGACAGCTGGAGAGGCCACACACACACACACACGCACACACACGCACGCACACGCACGCGCACATGCACCCTCCCACTGTATTGCAGTTATTACCCGCCATTCTCCCCAAAAGAGCAGGAGCTTCAGAGACGTTGGCTCCCTGGCAAAAGTCTTCTGCTAGTTTCTTTGGGGTGGCCACAAATGTGTACAATGTATGTGAATTGGATTATTACATAAAGCCTTTGAAACACTTTGTAATCTTGGAACAACGTAGATCTGCAATTCTCCCAGTATCAAGAAAACAAAAAGTATTTACACTAAGAAGAATCTTGTAAAACTGTAAGCTAGCCACAGTCAAAGTTTGACTGTCTTTATGCTCTAGTGGTGAACATTTCAAAATATGTTTGCACTGACACGAAGACATATTTCTTCAAAAATATGTCTGGCAAAGGAGATCCTTCTAATTACCATTCTTGGAAAAGCTCCAAGGAAAAATACAAACGTTTGAAACACTGGTGACAGTCATGAGAGCAGCTGCCGTTCACTACGTCGTAGATGGAAAAACCTTCAAAGCCTGATTGCGGACGTGTCACTTTGTTTGCCGTATAAGTTGTGTGAAAACACTGGCAGTCAGGTTTCTTCATGGGTTCATTGGAGGGAGCCCCGTCTTCTCCTCACAGTGACCTCCTAAAATCATCATTAGCCTCGGGGGGGGGAAACGCATTACTGTTAATTAAGTTTGAGTTAAAGACTTAAGCATTAGCTAAATTATCAAAAAAAAAAGTGCAGATATACATTAAATCGGACAGTTTCAATGCAAACTTTGTGCAAGTTTTCTCTTATTTCTCATGGTTCCTTTGCGATATCACAACCGAGCTGGGAAAAGTGTTCAACCCCCCCCCCCCCTATAGGAATAGATAGGAATACAGCATGTTTTTATCTTAGGAACTGGCACCACCTTATAGCACACACAGAACAACTTAGAAAGCTTCCCCAACACATTGACAAACATGAGAACAGGGTGTCTCTCACACACTCTCACACACACACACACACACACACACACACACACACCAATGAGCCTCAGGTAAGGTTACTTTAACACAGGTGTGCTGCCCCCCCCCCCCCATCCTGCAAACCTTACCCGGTGGGATGGTGAACCCTGGGGGCAGCTGGATGGTCGTCTGCTGCTGAGGTGGTCTGACGATCAGCTGGGGGGCCACCATCCTCTGAGGTGCTGCTGGAAGTCCAGGACGGGGTTGAGTCTGCGCGGCGGTGGCCGCGGCGGGCGTTGCGGAGGGCAGCGTGGGCCTGACCACGCTGACAGCGGTCGTCACCGACGTGGTCAGACCGCTTCCACACGCGGAACTCGCCGCCGCACCTGCTGCTGCGACACAAGCAGCGGCCGTGGCGGAGCTCGAAGGCTGGGTCACCGTTGTGGCCGCCGCTGCTGCTGCTGTGGTTGTCGTTGGCCTGACAGTGGGGACAGTGTTTATTACAGAGTTGACACTACCAGACTGGCTTGACATTACAATGTTGGACTGACAATCGTCTGTTTTGGAAGCCCCGGTGCTGTGGTTCCCCTGTGAAGCCGAGGGTGAGGTGGTGGTGGTGGGTCCTACGCGAGCGCCCTGCTGGACCAAGGCCGAAACACTGGTCCCGCTGCCGTTCTGGGCTATGCTCGCTACAATGTGACTCGGGAGTCTGTGCAACGCAATGGTGGGAGTCCCCCGGTCCAGAGCTATAGCCGACTGACCCGCGTGGAGGTTGGCGTTCGTTAGGGTGAAAGTCGAAGTGTTGATAGAGGACGTCGCCGGTTGAGCGGAGTCCGGCGGCGACGCGCCGGTATCCACGGAGCTCACGTTCTCAGCCGCCGCCGTGCAGTTGCTGTTTCTCCTCGTCGTTACCGCCGCACCGTTCAAACTCTTTATCCGAGCCGAGGCGCTCCTCCGCGGCGCGCTTATGCGTTTCCTCGGCGGGTTAGCTTCTTCCACCGACGTCCCACACGAGCCCGGGCTGCCCTTAGACCCCCGGCTGGATGTGGTGCTGATGCTGGCCGGCGCGGACGCCAAAGTTGACACGCAAGGTGCAGTCAATGTTGTGATGGATGCTCCATGTGATAGCGAGCCGCTGGTGCTGGTGGCGTTCGCGCAGGCAGCCGAAGCGACCGACGGCTCGCCAAAGAAAGGCTTAGAGTCCGGAGAAGGAGACGTGACAGTTGTATACGGGCTAGCGTCTTTTGAGTTGATCTCGGGGAGCATCTCGGGTTTATTACGCCGTCCTTGTTGTTGTTGTTCTAGTGTTGTTGTGCCCACTGGAGCTGGTAGCGTTTTTCCTAAGTGATGGTTAGCGTGGGCCACCGAGCCAGCGCCTCCGTTCTCGTCTGTTTTGCCTGCTAGGTTGCTTTGGCCAGCGAGCTGTGACTCCAGTGAGCCCACTAGGTCGCTCACAGCTTTTTCGTCCACCTCTGAAAACAGCATATCTTCCAGGGGGTCGGAGGCGCCCGCCATCTCTGATCACAGATAGCTGTCTTATTTTTTTTTTTTTTCTTTTACAGTGCGCCTGCGTGTTACTAGGCATTGTGGGAATGAATCTGACGTCATTAGCTGAGGGGGGCATCCTAGTTGTATTTTTCATGATTTTTCTTCGAGTCTAATTTAATGAACTATTTTGAAGAGGTGTTGCAATAGTGTTACATAACGTTCCCAAGCTAGGGCACTTTGCACCCGTGGAATACTCTCTGCGCCTCTCGCTAGTTTCAGGGTTTATGAAATATGGTGTGTCAAAAACAAATTATGCGGTATATGTACATTTTACGCATCTAAAATTGTGTTATCGGGCAATAATGGGGGCAGGGTGGCCAGAGGCCGTCCCGTATAATATCGCGATATGATAGAATGGCTGGATCTCAAACCTTTGTCAAGCACCCTAGGATTAATTTACTAATTTTCTTCGCTCAGAAAATAATCGTAAATGTGACCAAAACTGCACGTGCGGTCTTGGTATGACTGAGTTCCCCTTGTTTGTCGTCAAATCACTCTTTAACATTGACGAGGAAAGGGTAGGAGTGGAAGGAAGAGGAGGTAGCTTTAGAGAAATGAGACGCAGCCCGTCTCCCAACATCCTTAGCGGCGGGCGAAGGAAAACGTAAACGGCCATGTTGTGGTAGAAGTCAGTCCTGAAACGAGCGAGGCTTACTCACGGCGTTACTTATCAATCTGTGTAATGTAGTCTCAGAACTACGGCTCTGAAAGTAACACGGCTGACTTCTCGTTTGACAGTTATTAATTCCGTGTAAATTCGTGCGTCATTAACAGCAGAGGGCCAACATGAGCGGAGGAGGGACGCCGTACATCGGCAGCAAAATTAGCCTAATCTCCAAGGCCGAGATTCGCTATGAAGGAATTTTGTACACCATTGATACTGAAAACTCGACCGTAGCTCTTGCTAAAGGTAAGTCACGTAACAACGGGCTGGACTACAGCACTCAACCTGTCTCTATCAGAGCTTACACGTGTCGAACGATGGAAACCTGTCACTGATTTCAGCGCAGTTCGCTACGTTAGCTAACGTTAGCTTTGTAGCCAACTAACAGCTAAGTGGCGCTGCAGTTAACGCTCCTTTGTTTACCTTGTGTTTGGGGTTACCGTTAAATATGTGTCCGCTATTGCAGAGTACCGAGTGGCATACCGTGTAATAGAAAGTTAGCCTTGTTGCTATCATACTCTCTTACTAAAGCTTTAATCACTGGTTGATAACGGTAGCTTAGTTATATTTTAAGTCTTGAATCTGAGCGTGTGTCAAGTGAATTTGTATGACTTTACAACGGCACATGTTAATCCACCACGACGTGCTTCACCATTCAAACATGACGGATTCCCTGTTTATTTGCTAAGAAAAGTAATATTATATTATTCAAAAAGTAACAGGTAGTTATTGCATTGTATTGTTGGATGCCTATTTAATATATTGTCCAAGAAGAATATATGAAAAAATCATACAGTTTAACAATAAAATGATGCATCTCTATTCATAGTGTTAAAAATTATACTGTATCACTTCTTAAATGTGGACTTAATGCCCAGTGTAAGAAATCTACTAGGCCTCAATAAAATAAAAAAAGATAAAATAGTTTTAATTAATTTGAATAACCCTGTGAATTTTCCCAACAGTTCGCTCTTTCGGCACTGAGGACCGGCCCACTGACAGGCCTGTTCCACCTCGGGAGGAGGTGTTTGAGTACATCATCTTCAGAGGCAGCGATATAAAGGACCTTACAGTGTGTGAGCCACCCAAAGCCACTAGCTCCCTGCCTCAGGACCCTGCTATAGTCCAAGTAGGTTCATTTATATGTACTTTAAAATGGCAATCTGTATATTTTTTTACAAGTCATTGGAAACCTTTTAAGGATATTTTTTAAGCTAATTTCTTTCCTGTATTTTCTGTTATTAGAAGGATTGTCAAGTAATAAAGATGCCACACTGTGAGGACAAAAAAAAAACCTTTTACATGGCACATTTTGACTCATCACAGCAGGGAAAGGCACAGGTGTATCTAATACCATTAATTACTGCTACATCCCATTAAAGTCTCTCGGTCAACCAGCGGGCCAGGGCTGTGAAACTGGCTCGCCTAAATATAATTCAGCCATCATTGATGAGTGTTATTGATTACACCTGTGCTCCTCGGGTTACGATGAAACAAAAATACGTAGAAATTTAAATATTAAATAAATTGAATTTAAAGTTAATTTGACTTTGCACTAATAACATTTTGAACAAAGTTCGACAACTGAGCCTTGATTCTGTTGTTCCAAAGAAATAGAAATAGAAAAAATGGCATAGACACCGAGGACTTCAACACTTGATTATACAGAGAAGTTGGACTTTTGCTGAGACCAACATTGTACCGTAATGTGGTTAGAATAACACCTCCAGCTCCATGTGTCAAAATGTGTTAAATGAAATGCCTCTCCATTTGCACCTGACTCTTTTATCTTATCCGTGTCTGTTTTCATGGCGTCAATAATCATAAACTGTCTTGTCATTGAGGCTCACTGAATGCACCAGCTTTTTTTTTTTTTTTTTTTTTAAATGAAATGGATGAAAAGCAGTAGAAAGTGTGTATAGTAGCCTTGTGCAGGATGTGCCACTGCGATAGTGATGGTCACAAGTCTTTAAAGCAGTTGTGTGTTTCAGAACTACAGTGGCATATTCATTTCTTATGGATGATGACGGATTAAGTCATCCCACTTTAGTGGGTCCGGAGTCTGCTCCCCCAGAAGAAAAATGTGTCTTTCCCAGTTAAATCCATCAATCTTGTGCACTCTTGAGAGCAAAATGAACTAGCTAGATCTATGAAAACCTTTGTACTCAGGTTAACAATTCTGGGCTCTAGCAGTGGTGTAATGTAACTAAGTACACCAGTAAGTAAGTTAGGATTGTACTTAAGTAAACATTTTTAGGTACTTGCAGTTGACTTGAGTATTTTGGTTTTATGTAACTTTTTACTTCAACTCTACATCTTCTCAGAGGGAAATATTATAATTTTTTAATTCTCTACATGTATTTTACAATATTATTTACTAGTAAGGCTACTGCAGATTTAATACAAAATAGAAATCCACTAATTAACTATAATGTATTTAAAATTAGAAATTAAATCTGGGTAATTAACATGAAATGGTGTTATTCATTGTGTACCTGATGTGAATTTATGTGACTGTGCTGTTTCCTGACAGTCGGCGTTGTCAGTTGATGGTGTAATGTGTTTCTCTAGTCGTCACTTGGATCCAGCAATGCTTCAGCGGGATCGTCATTCCAGTCGGCGGGGTCCTATGCTGCGCTCAGCAAGGCCCCCGTCCCGCCATACAGCCAGTTTGGAGTCACGCCCCTTGCAGCTCAGCAGTTCGGTTCTGCCGGAGCCAGAGGTAAGGAGTAGTTCTCGTTCCGGATGCGTGTCTGGTCACTGTATGGATGCACAGGATGCACCACGAAGCAGAGCTGTGAGAATGGTTCCCGTTCCCACATGATGATAGGATTAATTATGGTTATAGCAAGACGTAGCTCATCACAAACAACAGTGTATTTAACATGACGTATAAGATGTTAATGCTTGCATGAATCAATTGGTGCACAAATATCGTCTTCAAAATAATGTAATTAAATTGAGCCTATATTGCCCAGCTCCATCTCTGTGTTCAGAGCACTTTGAGTTTTTTTTGTTTTTGTCTAAACCCTTTCTGATGACGACTCAAACGATTGACCGCTTTTCAAACGAGCCTTGTAAGCAAAGCATCTTGTGTCTCTTGCAACAGCTGTTTCCTGCTAATTCTAACCGAGCACAGCTGCATGTCGTCTTTTGAGCTTCCTGCTGTGCACCTGAAGCCCATTATGCATTGAACTGGATTTAGCGGAGACTATTAGGCATCACGTTTCTAATACACTGAGTCCAGGGCATCTTAAAGTGCTCAAAGGGGGAGACATTTATTGCTGGGGTTTATTACCATTCCAAAGCATAAATTGCTTTGGAAATGCATTGAGTTACCATTGGAGTTATTAAAAATTAGATGTCTGTGTCGTCGAGTGGCAATATTATGGAAGAACCTTCCTGGTCGGAGTTACATTAATGGGGTGTATTAATGGGGTGCAAGATGAAGTACGCTGCGTTTAAAGACAATCGTATCGTTTGGATTTGACTTTGGTATTTTCTGCAGGGTGCATCAGTCCCCAGCTGGACTCTATCACCAAACGTCCCACCCTGGAGCAGGGGGTGAAGGCCCCGCCATCAGCTGCCCCGGTACCACCTGCCCCCGTGGGACCAAGGAGTCAGTCGGGGGCAGCGGCTCCCAGACCCCCCGGCATCCCCTCCGGCAGCCAGAGGCCCCCCGACCTCCTGGAGCAGAGAAAGGGTAAAGACTCCTCCAGGACTTTGCGTGGTTAAAGTCCACAGTGATAAAAGTTTGCTGAATCTTTGCAAATGTCTGAAGTTGCCTTCAAGTGTATATTTTAATCAAGTTGCCCGCTTTGTTAGAGCTGTACCACTTCACCTTGAGTTTAAGATGGTGTCTTTTTCTGTTCAGCTCCTGAGGTCCAGTTGGTGTCACGGCCAGATCATGAACACGGCGCTCTTGAAAACCGAGATCCCAACAAGCGTCACACCGGTAAGTAGTTTTGCACCATAACTTAATACCCGATAAGACTCGTACAGCCACCAAAATATTTGTTTTCATTAGCTGTATTAGTGGAAGTCAGTGAGGTAGTCATTTGTTTTCCCCCTGAAAAGGTGTCTTGATGGTTCACGTGGTGAATGTTTTATGTTGGCGCCGTTCGCTGCGAGCTGCCGGCTCAGCTGTCGGCTCAGCTGTCGCCGCGTTGAGAACCGTTGAGGGCCAATAGAAATGCTCCCAGTCTCGTATGCAGCACCGTTAAATCTTAGACATGGCTCCTTTTTCATTATATTGTGCTGGAGTATAAAGCTAGTTGTAACACTGTCCCAATACATTTGACTGCACAGCAGGCCCAGGTGTCGCTTGTTTGACTGTTTCCGTATTTCATTTTTTTATATTTAGGTCATTTGTCAGCTGGTGCTCAGCCCAATCGCCGTGGCCGCGGACGAGGAAACCGCAGCCGAGGTAAAGTCAACCTGCGCCGGGACGGCGCCATGACGTTCGAAGAAGACTTTGACTTTGAGACGGCCAACGCCCAGTTCAACAAAGACGAGATCGACAAAGAGCTCCAGAACAAGCTGAAACTGAAAGGCACGGCTTACACACACACACACACACACACACACACACAGTCCGATGGGGCAAACTTGACAAAACTCAAAGGGGAGAAAATGTTTTTTCAGCCCAGGTTGACATTTTCACATAAGACACTGACACCAGCTACAAGTTAAAAATCAGACACTGCATTTAATTTTTATCAATTCTATTGGCTTTATGGTGTAAAACGGAGATGTACTTGTTGAGATGGTGCGTATCCTCCAAAGCGTGGGAGGGAATCATCACTTCAAAAAAGCCTTACATGACTTATATTGGTATTTTTAGAGCACAAAATGGTTTGAATATATTTTGTCCTATCACCTTTTGTGCTAGTGAAAACCCACAAAAACAACAGTTTTTGCTCCCAAAAGCAAATCTATAGTAGAAGTAAATTGCTTGTGATACCGTGCTGAGATAGAAATGTACTGAAGATGGTACCTTCATTGTAACAGCCACTGCAATAGAAATCCCAGCATCGTTTTCTGGTCTTTTCCCAGCCTACTTTGTTGTTACTGGGTCACTCAGTCTAAATGTCTTCCAACCACAGATGACAAGACTGAAAAGGCAGTGAATGGAGAAGAACCTGCAGAGTCCGAACATCCAGCCAACGAGGGGGCCAACGAGGAGGAGGAGGCTGCCAACAGCACCTACTATGACAAGACCAAGTCCTTCTTTGATAACCTGTCCGCTGATGATTTGAGGTACCTCAATATGTCCGCTGTTGTGAAATTGTGATTCAGTTCTAGGACAGTGTGAATTTAGGACTATTCAGACAAAATAAGAATGAAGAGTTTTTAACTTTGAAGCTTGTGAACTTTTTCTAATAGAAACGCATAATCGTATGAACGTGGAAGTGAACTTTTATTTTTTCTTCTCCAAAATCAGTATTTCATGTTTATGAAATGCACATAAGCCTTGATGCATTTATTTCAACATGGGAATGGAACTCTATTAATACACTAAAAACCTTTTTTTTTTTTTTTTTTTTTTTTATCTCATCTCTTTCAGCAAAGGGGGTGACAGAGGATTTTCACGGTAAGTCACTTATTTATTTTAGTCTGTGTTGAGGGAGGCTCCTCAGGTGAATGGGTTAGGTAGCATTTGTTACACGGATAAAACACGAAATTATGAAACTAAACAATGTACTCGTACTACATGTATGTACTACTACTTTAGTACACTTAAAAACCCTTTTGTGTTGTCAGGGAGCGAAGGACAACCTGGGCAGAAGAGAGACGGATGAACTCCGAGACATTTGGCATCCCCCTGAGGCACAATCGAGGAAGAGGAGGTTTCCGCGGCCGGGGCTTCATGGGGCCCCGCGGAGGCAGAGGGCGGCCGCTGAGCAGAGGCTCCTTCGCCCCGCCCCGAGGTCCTCCGCCCGGTTTCAGAGGCGGATTCAGAGGTGGCAGAGGAGGCCGGGATTTCTCTGATTTTGAATATAGGGTAAATCCAACAGCTTCATGACCTCGGAGATCATTAAAGTATCATTAAATAGGTGTAGCATTTCATAAATGTAATAATTAGAAACATAATGTAAGAAAAACATGAGTGCGTAATGTCATAAGAGTTTTGTGCGTAATATAATACCTTGAGTTATTTTGAGAAATTCTGACATTATAAACTAAGCAGAAACATAGGAACCCTTCTGGTTTTACATGATACAAGTAGGCTCCTTAATTTAAAGCCACTGGACTTTGTCTGGAGGACATTTTTATAAATCTGTTTCAAATTGACGAAGCCTCTTTTAAATGCTTGTCAAAATTCAGAACTACAAGAAATCCAGTGACCTGAACAAATGAGGAACTTCAGTTTATACGTCATTATTCCAGATATGTTTAATGTTGATTCAAGCAGCAAAACCACATTGGTTCAGTCTACCGAACTGTCTCACTTTGGCCACTAGATGGCTCCGTTCACTTGTCATGCATTTCACGTTTGTGCCTCAGATCATGAGAGGTATGTTGAGAGGTTTTTTACATAAGCCACTTTAATGGAAAGTAGGCTACTTAACTTTAAAATAGTTAAAGATACTTAAAGATCTTTCCAGTTTTCAGCCTATTTATCTTTGTATCTTGCAAACATGACGGTTGCTTGACATGCAGCTACTCGATGATATTTATTCATATCTCTTCTGGTCAGATTTTGGGAGGAATTATAATTGTACTTTGTCCAATTACTAACGGTTTGACAAATTTCATTATTTGATATAATTCACTGAACTTTATAACTACAATGTAGAACACTTCTAAAAATTGTTAAATGCAAAAGTCGGACTGAAGTGCAGCTTTCAGTTCTCTGAGGCATTTTGGCAAGAAATGAGTTGTTTTGTTTTTGTCCAGAGTAAGCGTACATCATTTTTATCGCCTGTATGAGCCCCAAAGAAGATGTGATGATATCAAACGTTCGTAACATAGTGTACATGTCATTATATTGATAACCAGCTTATTAATGAATTGTCATTTTCTCATGAAAATGCACTGAACTATGCACTCGGTTTTCTTACATTATTCTCTGATTATTACATTACAAAGCCTTATATACTATATTTAAATATAACATGCATTTTTTACAGCAAAGTAAATGTACGGCTGCTGTTTCTTTCCAGAAGGACAACAAGGTGGCTGCATAGTGCTGCAGCGACGGCTCCTCCAACAATCCAAGCCCTCATCGTGAAATGATTCCCGTTGAAGAAATTCTTTGGTCTCAACATTTGACAGACAGAATGACGACATCTTCTCAGTCACCAGCAGCGGGGCTGACTGCTTTACATCGGGGGGGTGGGTGAGAGTGCAGCTCCCTTTTCTCCACTTTTGAGAATTAGGCTTTTTTATTTGTTGTTTTTGTTTTGGCCCAGACATGTTGTTTGATAAAAAACAGCCACCAGATGGACGAGAACAAGTGTAAATACCTTAGGTGGGAGCGATCTGTATTTTTGCATCGATCCAGTTCATTTCTTACTGAAGATGTTTGATATTGAAGAACGCAGAAACGCCCACCGATACTGTGAGAGGCTCGCAGGTCATGTGATCGTTTTGTTTTTAATCTCACCATGTGTGGCGCCACCAAAATTCAGTGCATTGCCGGTTGCACCATATATTCCTCTGCTCAGACTTAGTCTGGTTGCCACGTGTTCAGTATTTTTACCCAGAATGCAGGAAATGGTTTATTTCCTTTTTTTTGTTTTTTTTCTGGACATCATTCATTCTCAATCATCTTCTACTTACTGCCCCCCCCTCACCAGACAAACTCACTTTTAGTTTTTAGAAAAGGTCTTTCAGTATTTAGAATTGCGTAGATCATACTGTTGCAGGCAACCAATAGGAGCCGGCCATCTGATTGCTATTTGGGGTTTACAGCATTAGCTTTAGAAGAATGTTTTTGTTGACCGGGTCTGTTTTTCTTTTTTTTTCTTTTTCTTTTTTTACATAGTTGATTAAACAAAGAGCATTCCAATGATTTGTGTCCGTTACTATTAATGCCTTTAGAAGTTCTTAGGAAAGGAAAGCCTTCAGTGTATCCAGTTTAAACCTGCAGTCAGAATGACTTTGAACAAGTCCAATTTGGATAATCCAAAAGGAAGAAGAAGAAGAAATGCCCCGCTATTTTGCCAAAAAGTATATGCAAGCATTTGGTCGAGATAAAATAATTGCCAGCCTATGACGTACCTGTTAAATCTGCCTTCCTGTGTCCAAAACCTACTGAGCCACCTGTTAAGGCATGTTCATTTATTTAGTTATCGCCATTAGGGTTGGGCGATTGGACTAAATTGTCGTTTTGACAATTGAATGGCCTGCCTCCAAGGAGAGAGAGAGAGAGACGGCATCGCACGCACCTGAGTGGATATAGTGCCCGTTGTTGGACTGACGGTGGCCAGTTGGAGAATTTCAAACGTATCACCCAACCCTAATCGGCATCCTTTTTAATTGTCTTACAGTTATCATCTGCATTATTTGTTTGTTTTTTTTTCCCCACTGCAAAACTGTGCTTGCAGTGTTTACTGAAAATGGGAAATCTTGTATATGGTTAAATGTCTCAAAACATATGTTCAAAAATTCTGCCCTCTGGCTTGTTTGTAGCTCCTCCTGTTGCATTGTTGTCAATGGAATTGTTCTCTGGAGTGTTTTTGTTTTTCTACACAGAGTTGTGAACAAAGGGACATGACCTGGATGTGGTGCCAGTGTGATGGTTTTTGCTCTGATTTGTTAGTACTTTAGGGAGTGCCTTCAGAGTGATGACTTTTTTTCTTTTTTACAGCTCTCCCTTTAACTTAAAAGTCGACAAAGGTTTTGATAGCACGGCGAGACTGGATGTTTCTCGGTAGCTGCGGCTGTTTTAAAACGAAGAGGCCCGGGTGAAGCTGGATATTGCACAGGCGGCCGATCACTGCATGATAAGCCGTAGAAATCATCACTTCACACTGGCTTTTTTTTTTTTTCCTCGCAATAACAAGCGAGATTAAATTTGACAAAAAAAAGTATTACTGGACTATTGCAAATGGAGATGTTTTCGTATGTTACTTCTTCCAGTCTCTGGAATTGTAAACCAGGATCTGTTTTCATGAGAATAGCAGCAAAATTGAGTTTTTAAGTAAAATAAAGAGTTGTACAATATCCGTGTCTCTGTGTTTTTGCGCACTGCCTATCTAAAAGTCTCCCTTCAAATAATCGCTCGTATTTGTTTATTGGAAAAGTTGTTAAAATTGCCTGTTTTTAATGTGGATAGAAATTGTAAATTGTGCGATCACACACTGGCCTTCAGCGGGATGAGAAGATACTGCTTTAAATGTAACAAATGCAACATCCTACAGTTCTTCAAAACACACTATTTTACTCATGTACCCACATTATCCTTTAGTGTCTCAATCTCAGAATAGAATATGATTGCAATTTTTAAAAAGTGTATTTGGGACCATTTACTTCAAATAACTGAATCGGACCAAAATAATAGAAACAAATGCATCTGATCATTTTAATTTATTTAATATAAATAAGGAAGCAATAATGTTGAGTATATTTAGATGCTACGGTGCAACCCACGTGAATTCCTGAAGAGTTTAAAGCTAGAAATGTAAAGGCAGGCCTCAAATCCATATTTCATTGGATGCCACAAAACAAAAATGTTGATTGGATCAATTATATCTATTATAACCAGCAGTGGTTCATTAGTTACACAAATGAGGCTCTTGGGGCACTAGGAGAACAGCTACAGGAAACAAGTAGAACCGCATGGCAAGATAGACAAGCATGAGATTGGATGTGTGGTTCTTAACTTCCTCATGGTGGTGACCCTCTACTGTGCGCTGTTACGCCCGGCCTAGTAGAAACCTGAGTGCAGCATAACTCCCTCTCTTAGGTAGCATTAAGCTTGAGACATACGCATATGCAACTTACACACGCTCACAAAGAAAGCTAATAAAACAAAAAGGATGTACAAGTGTACTGCAGCTTTTTCTTTGTCAAATAAACCGCTCGAGTGTAAGTCTCGCAATGATCTCATCTCTTACTGACTCCCGAATTTGCTCTACATCTGGCTGTGGTCGGTCCTGCTGCCCAACATTATCTCATCATTTAGTGGTATTATGTTAAAGCAGCCGATCCCTTATTAATCTGATCATGCTGTGAATGAATCTCATATTCCCTCATGCAAGTGGAAAACAGCCCACCATATATACTGTATATAATATGGTGGGCTGTTTTATTTTTGTACGTATACATTAAAATATACATATATATATATATATGTATCTTTTAATGTATTTACAAAAATACATCTTCTTTGTCTCATCTTTTGTGGCAGACTTTGTGAATTTGTTGTTACATTTGTATCTTCTTTGACTTGTCTCTCATATGAATAGCAGCTGAAGTAACAAGTTGGATTGGTATAAACTGCCACTTATCTGCAGCAGAGGATCGGTACTTCATCTAGCTGACATCACTTGGGAGATGCTTCCACCAAGTGGACGCAAACTGTCATGAAACTGTGGGATGACCAAGTAAATGGAGTTCAATTTAAACCGGAGTCACGTGATTTTGGAGTAGTCTAGGCGGGCAGTGAAACAGGTGTTATTTTATCATTAGCATGTGTTGCATCACTTTGTAGGTAATATTCTGGCAACTTTCATCATCTGTAATACACTCAAGTGTTGGTGATGTATGATGTTGCTTTTTTACAAGGTGAAGGAGCGACAACACTTGTGTATCTTCTCATTCTTGGTTTAAAAAAATAAACACGTTGCAGACATAATTTGTAAGCGTAAAAGTCTAAATATTAAAGACACGTGTGTCAAGCGTGGCTTTTATTTCGTTGACCGGAAGCTTGACTCGTCCTATTCTGACAGACTTTGCGTTTCTCACAGGTGCCTTACTCCAACTTAGGCCATTCTCGGTTACGTTTACACCTGAATTCGGTCGTAAGACGATAGCCCTCTCGCGGGGCCCGGTTTCCGCGGTTTTCTTTTTTTAATTATTTATTTCCGTGTAAACTGCGGTCTTGATTTAAAAACATTGATGGTCGATAATTTAGCCCTGCGTTGAGGGCCCCCGGGAGAAACTGCACAGGATTACAAAGTCACATCAGACTGTTTTTTTTTTATATCCGGCGACATGGCTCGACCACGGCCGCGGGAATACAAGGCAGGAGATTTGGTTTTCGCTAAGATGAAGGGATACCCGCACTGGCCGGCGAGGGTGAGTCGAGGATGCGGCCGGGCTGGGAGCAGAGGGAGGCGGGGTTGATTTACACAAAACAGTCGCTGCTTCTCTGGGGGTGCTGGGAGAGGGCTGCTACGGTGACTTCACAGCCACATTTAGTCTGCTTAGTTCTGTTACCAAATCGTCTACTAAAAGCCTTTTTCTTTTTTACATTTGAAAATAATGAATACACGTACATTTATTGAGCTCCACATACTCAATACGCTTCCCGCTCCTTACTGCTCTTGTTTGAGTTGGAACGCATGTTCTTTCCACCGCGTTATTCATTTCCACTCATTCGTTCAACATGTGTTTTTTTTTTGTGTTCATTTAACGTTTGCATTTAGCCGTCACCCAATACATAAATAAGCCCGTAGCTGACCTCAGGTAAACCGCGGCCCCCCAGCTCCAACACGACCATCGATGCACCGTCTCATATGCTGTGCATGAAGCCGTGTATGAAACACACTGTAGCCGCCTAACGGCAGACAGTGCGTGGCCTCTAATTCAATGGCGCACATGGGTTACCATGTCATGAGTTGGATTCCCACAGTGCAGCAGGCAGCCGGGCTCCATTTGTAATCATCGTGAAACAAATTACTTGGAGCATCTTTCTACCACTATACCACAGGTCTGACTGACGTTATATTGTATATGGGATCAGGACATAAGCCCATAGTAATCCTCCTAGCAGTGTATATAATTTAAGGTACCGTGGTAGACATTAACAGATGACTGGGCATCTAAAAAAGGAGTATATATAAAAATAAATAAATAATGTAACAGCTTCTCTCTCCCTGTCTTTCAGATTGATGAGCTTCCAGAAGGAGCTGTCAAACCGCCCGCCAACAAGTACCCCATCTTCTTCTTTGGGACCCATGAAACGTAGCCCCCCCCCCCCCAGGATGTGCAGCATTCCTCTCATGTGTATAGATATTTAAAGGATAGCAGCTGCCCGCACTCAGATTTGTATGAATGTTAAGGAGTTGTAATGCAGTTGCACCAAATTGGGAATCTTAATAGATTTTGACATCGCTGCCACAGCTTTGTGGGGCTCGTACTGTTGGAAAAACATGGATATCCCTGCCAAGGCAATAACTTTAAAGTATTTTTTCAGTACCCTAAATTTAGGGAACATCAACATGTTTTAAGTGTGACAGTTCATTCTTTACTGTGAATAGAATAGTTGTATATCCTTATTACAGGTTAATGCTCGTGGTGTTGAGGTTTGAAATTGCTCAGCAGCTTACATGTTTCTGTAAAATTGGATATCTTTAAATTAGTAAACTTTTATGCATGACGATGCCGAAGTTTAATTCGTGACACACTGTGGTTTTCCAGACTGTCGTAGTAAAAGTAACAGCTGTCCCGTCACCCTTCTTTAGTGCATTCCTGGGCCCGAAGGATCTTCTGCCTTACAAGGAGTATAAAGACAAATTTGGCAAGTCCAATAAGAGGAAAGGCTTCAACGAGGGCCTGTGGGAGATCGAGAACAACCCCGGAGTCAAGTTCACAGGCTATCAGGTCAGCCGGCACTCTATTGTGTCTGTGGTCTAGAGAGAAGACAGTGGGAGAAAACATGAAGGAGGGAGGGGGGGGTCAGAGATGCCAGACAGGTTTGATCCTCGACAAAGCCACATTGTTGCCTCGCCGAAAGTGGAAGACACAAATGAAAGGGCTGTCGACAGCAGAAAGAAAAGAAAGATGCATTCATTTTGTCTTAACTTGCAGTCTCACATTTGTACGTTTGAAGCGTCAGTTGTCTGTGGAACCAGCCATTTCTGCTTCTAGTTTTACGATCGGTGGGCATCTTTCGCACACACAGGCCATCCAGCAACAGAGTTCGTTGGAGACAGAGGAGGGGGGGAACGCCGCCGCCGCCGACGGCAGCAGCGAGGGCGAGGAGGGTGACTCTGTTGAGGACGAAGACAACAAGGAAAAGCTGAAGGGAGGGAAGACCGGATCCAAACGGAAAAAGACGGCCACATCCAAGGTACCTCACCTCAGCTGGTGTAACATACTAACACAGGAGCGAGGACGGATCACACTGGATTCCATGAATTTAGAGACAATCTTTCATGTCATGTTTGTTTGACTGAGATATGGCATGAACGGTAGAGACGGAGGTCATCCGATCTGTGTCATTTGTGGCAGTTAGTTGACGGATAGCATTATTATTTTCACATATTTTTATGGATATTGCGATAATATTGCAATCGTGAATTCTTTTGGCCGATATATACGACTGAGACCCGCTGTCTGAGTCGTTTTAAAGCTAGATGTAAACACTATATTACCCGATTTTGCTCATTCAAAATAAAAGCTTTTGAAATGAGAAAATAACTGGGGGGGGAATTTGCCGGAAATAAAATGTATTTTGCAGCCGCTCCTTTGACCACGATATATACCATCACTATCCGGTCAGTGTCGGGTGTGGACATAGTTGAGCTCCGATCTGGTGCATCCGATCGCAAAAGTCACATTGAAAAGACAAGTGTTAGAAACAAGCTCAAACAAGTGGGTCGTTTAGGTTCGGCCGACCATACGTCCTGTGAACATCCCAGAATTCTTTTTTTTATTTCGCCTCGTCATTTCCCGGACAGCGGGACACCCTTAAGCCCTGGGCGCTCCCAAAATAAATCAATCCTCAGATACTCCTATTGCATATCATCGACATGTGAAGTTGAGGACGTAGTTACAGTATTTGGAGATTTTGATTGTTTGAACCAGGCGGCAAGCTCCTTCTTAATACTAATTCATTCTCTCTAATGGCCATCAGGGGGCGACTCCTTTGGTTACCAAAAAAAGTCAGATTGTATAGAAGTCTATGAGAAAATGACTCTACTTCTCACTTGTTTTATTACCTCAGTAAACACTGTAAACATGAGTTTATGGTCTCAATCTCTAGTTTCAAGTCTTCTTCAATACAACATAATGTTCATTTAGTAAACGATGATCCATTTAGAGTCAAATAGACCATAAAGCAGAGTATGCTTTAGGGCGGGCTTACTGTGATTGACAGGTTGCTGCCGCTACCAGAGCCGTATACGGTGTCTCTGTACAAACAGGTTGATGCTGGCATCTAGATCTGGTCTCCAGTAAATGCATTATTTCCTCCTGTTTGAGTAATGTTGTTCTTTGCATGGGATATGTTGGCAGTAAAAAAGTCTGGCCTTATCCTCCAACATATATCTGGTGTATATTTCCAGAGGGATATATATCAAACCTATGATATATATATCTGTCATGGTCCCATTATTCCGCGATACTTTTCTGTCCGTGGACACAATATTGGCAGCAAAGGGGCTTGATTCTTCCAGGAAGGACAGCCTGGCTGATTACTTAGTTTTTTTGTTGTTGCTGAAAACGACACTGTAGCTTCACTGTGAGGCATTCCTCCACATTTCACTCATCCAAATGTTTTTTTAACAACCTCTGCTCCTGATGTTCTCACTGTATTCATTACGCCAGTCTCTTTTGTTGAACCTTGCCTTTATTTTGAAAAAAGAAAAGCTTTGAGGTTTGTAGGGATGGAGCGCTGCAGAGCACTGCCACAGTGTGTTACTGTATCACTGCTGCTGTAAAGGGAAGCAGGTTGAAAAAGTCACATGCATCCTGCTCCTCACTTAGCAACCGCTGTTGCCTAGCAACTGGGCTCTATTACGCACAGCACATGTGGTGCATCCGAAGGAATTTTGGCACTCTTGTGGATCGGTTTTCTGTTGTGTGTGTGTGTGTGTGTGTCCTGTCACATCACTGAAACACTGTGCGTGTGCGTGCGTGCGTGTGTGTGTGGTTACACAAAGGAACTGGAATCTCCTCAGCTGACAAAAGATTAAATGTGATCTCTGTTTATCTGGGTGATGAGAGGCGGGAACAATATTTAGTTGTTTTCAAACCCACGCACACACACACACATTATCAAATGGTGAAATTATTCAATTTAGCTCATTCCGCCATGCTTTAATGCTACACTGGTTACAGAAAATGAGCTGAACAGCGTTGGGTTTTAACAGGCCTCACTCCACGGCGCTCCAGAGAACAAGCTAACTAGCTAGCCGTCCTCCTTCCCGCCGAGCTGCGACGACACTTAACGACCCCACTGACGTGTGTTCTCGCCACAGCAACTAACAACAATCAACATTTTCTTTTGCACTGGTCTAATGACCGCAGGAAAACAGTTCAATGTCCGCTCTACTCCTGTTCTATTTCTATGAGGGTAACACCAGCCTCACTGTTCACTCTGCGGTTTGAAGAAGTTTACACTCCAGCAACTCAAACCAGTTACGTTAAATAGCGCTCAGCAGTTAGTCGTCATCCTCACCCTTTCCTTGTGTAAAACCAAAACATTCTGTCTGAAAAAAACAAACCATAAAGCAAAATATTCCGATTTGAAACTCTGGAGCTAATGAAACCATGTCAAGTTAGACAGACAGATGGGGGGGGGGGGAATCGATGGTTGATCAAAGGGACAAACAAAACATGATTTATGTTTATTTTATGCGTTATCTGACAATTCCGACACTGATCTGTGTGTTTGTAGCAGAAATCTTCCAAGCTGTCGAGGATCTCATCCGTAGAGGACGACCTGGAGAAGGATGGGAAAGATGACGACCAGAAGAGCGGCTCTGAGGGAGGAGACCCCGACAACGACATCATCCAAAATACCATCGACAGTAAGGTGGGATTGTTAAACGCCCGCATGTTTACTACTCTAATCATTCATTAATCAGTCTGAGCGTCTTTCTAAGTCCTTTGACCTGAAGTTTCCCACTTTCAAAAAAATGTACTCCGTGGTTTCCCGGAGATTTGATAAAGATACAAAGAAGTTTTCTGTCTGAACACGACATAATATTGCTGATTTTTTTGCGCTTCCAGTTCTAAGGCAACTAAATTCTTTCATCAGGTTTTTCAAGTTTAGAGCTTTAAGTCAAAGTCTCAACTACCGTTCGTCCTTCTTGGTGGAGGCCAATCCTAGTCGCGCTACCCATTGGTTGAACCTGAAATGCGGACCTTTGTCTACCCCTTGTGACAGTGAGAGCAATTTCAAAAAACAATCTCGGCGTGCTTTTGCGAGCTCACGGATTGGGATCGCACATTGAGCTCTGAAACGGAAGTAAGATTGCAAAAATGACGCAATAAGGACTATATATACTATATGCGCGCTAGCTTGTGACTCTGCCCCCTTCAATTTGCTCCAGCTGTTTTGGCTTCAGAGCACTGCAACAGGACACAGTCGCATCTGGATATCAGGGTCAGGTCTTTCTCAAATCCACACGAGAAAACAAAGCCTCTGTAAGGAGTGATTGGCGACCATATGACTGTTTAGGACAACATATGATTCACATATTTTAGGCGTATATGTTTTATTGTTTAGTTACGATTTAAGTTGTTGTGTGCACATGGATCTGCACACACACACACAAACAACTAATTCCATTGCCGTCGCCTAGATTATTCTTACCAGCCTGTCTGGTTTGTCCCAAATATATTCTGAAAATGTGTCATACTGAATGTAGCTACAGCCCATAATAATTGTATTAGTTATTATTAGTTTGTTGGACCCCTGCATGGAGTCGGATCAGTAAAATCAACCATCCCACATCAGACACCATTAGAATTCTGAAGGCTGCGTTCAACTCGCTAACAATAAGCCGAAAGGTTTTTCTTTACTGGGACTAATGATTTTCTGTTAAAATGAGTCATAAAAACATAAAAAAGATGGAGTAAGCGTCCACAGCAGTACACTGCTATGCTCGGTACTCCTGCTTCTCCAAACTGGGCACAAAAAGCCCATTTGTGGGAGTAGATCGGCCGGGCGGACAATGTTGCTGGTTAGCATTGTGCTTTTTATTACCGTGCGCCTTGTGTCACCTTGCTGTAACGTTGCGGCTGTCATTTTGAGAGGTGACCAGCTCGTCTATACAAAGTATAAAGCAGACATTCTGCGATTGATGCTCACAGCGGTGTAACAGAAATAGATAGTAGCCCAAATAGATAATACAACGCAAAGGAGCGAGTCTAGTCTAGACTATACAACGGTGGTTCGGGTGGTGATAATGTTGGCAAGATATTGTTGTCATAGAAACATTAAACGTTGAAAAGGGCGCTATGTGGACACAGACCCTAAGTAAGCAAGTTAGCTAACACGGTCACATAACAACAGTGGGTTTAAAACAGGTTTTGTCTAATTATACATGTCTTATTGTGCCACTGTTGTACTTTCTAATAACACAGTTTACAGTTCTTTTTATGCAAAGCACTTCGGTCAACATGTGGTTTGACTTAATGTCACTAACAACGATGCTTATAATACCTGTGTTTCTTTATTGATGCGTCCCCCAGAACCAGCTGCTCATAGAAAAACATTAAGTGAAGAAAAGCACGAAGTCTTCCCCCGTAGCTGAGATGTTGGGAAGGTACATCAACGACATGATCTCTCATCAGCACCATCCACTGGCCGCCATCGTCACTTCCACCTCTCCGTCGGACTTCCAGTATGTGTTTTGTATGACAGACGCACCCATAATGATACCGGTATGGTGGTGGTCATTGTGCGGATGCCGGGGTATAAGCGCTGAAACTTAATGCCAAGGGGTCGTGTCTTGAACTCTCTAAAATAGACAGGTTAAGATTCGTATTTCGCTTTCATCCAGTGACTCTGAATGCTTGTAGGTTTTATATTGTGAAATAAACGTGAAGTATAGGATATCTAAAGGGGCATTAAGTACTTGACTTGACTTTGATCGTGGTCTAATGGCAACAATTACGCGTTGTGATAATGTTAGCTGTGTTTATATGGAGCTTTTCGCTACTTGGCTCATGCTACAATAGCCCAATATATATAATACATTGAAATAACAGGTGTACCCTTTCATAACCCGTTAAGACATTTATTTGTGAAGCAATAGGTAAGCGGTGTCCCTTTGCCCCCTTTTAATAACTGCAAGAGTAGAACTAAATCTGTTGCTTCACTGGGAAAAATAGCGGTAAAATGTCAACTGTTGCCTATTTCTTGTTGTACATGGACACTTATTTGTGATTATCATAATTAATTACGCTCTACCGAAAAAATCTGAAGGTCTGCTTACGAGGAACTATTAACTGCATCAGCAATTGGAGTTGCTGGCTAAATTGTCCCGTAGGAACAGACGGGAATATGTTCATAGGAATTTTTTATATGGACAATTTCATACAGAAGGGAAAACAATATGTACTCGTTGCCAAGTCGCAATGCAAAATCACAATATGACAATAATTGAAAAAGGTTAGTGAACTAACACGACTTCTTCAGGGTTAGGCTAATACATTTTACATGATGGAAAACAGAATGACCCTCAGAGTTTAAAGGCGAATGAGTCGGATTGTCCGGAAAAAACAGAAATGTGTAGACTTATACATAAAAATGATCCCTTTCAATCGTCACTTTGCACCCCACTAGAAGTGTGTGGCTGTGTCCGTATCTGCAGAGACCCAGCCCCTCTGCCTGTATTTTCTTATTTTGCTTTGTCTGGCACGTTTCTGGGCGTTGACATCTATAAAAACGTAGCGACCGGGTGCCAGATCGTAAGCACGCATCCAAGAAGAAACTACAAAAGTGGCGGACATTGTGCCAAAAAACCCCCCAAAAAACGCATATTTAGCAAGGGCGAAATGCCAAGCGCACAAAACTTATTCCAAAAGGAGAGCGCATCTGGGGTTGGCTTTGTTTTTTCCACTGGCAAATCATCCTAATTGCATGCCAGTGGGCGTGGCTTCTGGCATCGTAGAGCCGGGGAGGAGGGGCCGACTTTGACTGGCGCGTTTACGTACCTGCAACCGACAAATCCTACTCATTCTGCCTTTAAGATAATGAGGTAACTTTAAGACGTGGTGACAAAACTACGACAGTTCAATTTCGTCAAGAAATTATTTTCAAGTGAAAGGGCCAGTAGTATTCGTCACTCGCTAAAGAACATTAAAGTAGATTACTTACTGCCTCTTTAATTGGTGTTGAAAAGTGACTTGTTATATTTGTTCAGAAGGTAATTTTACAGTAGTTTGTGAATTTCGTTACAATAGAAATACAGTATCAGTGCATCTCTACTGTGCATGTGACATGATGTAATACAGTCGTGTACATGTCACATTTAGGCCAGAAGAAACAGTGGGTTAGATTGGCCCGTGTCCTTCATAATCATTCATAGTGTAGATAGCCCCATCTGTATTTATACCCGTGTATACCTATCTGTATTGCATCACTCACGATCACCTGTCACTGTGTACAAATGCATTTGATAAGACCTCCATATATATATATATATATATATATATATATATATAT